TGACCGTCCTATATGCCACCTTCTGACTGGTGAGATCTTGGACACCTGAGAAGTATTTATATCATAGATCACAGTACAAATTAAAACAAAACAAAACATTCCCCACCTTCATAAAATCCCCAAAACCACACACAGAAAGAAAATGAAAACAGCCTGAAGCATTTTGGACTCAACTATGAGCACAGACCTAAAGGATCCTAAACTTGTGTGTCCAGCAGGAACAGAGGCATACTGGGTGGGTGTTTCTCTCGGTTCAGCTGAAGCACATTCCCCTGCTAACATGCAGTAATGGCATTCACCACCTCAGTTATCAGGGATATATTTAGTAGTTTATCAAAGTGAAGCTTATCAATCCCATCCTGCTCCCCATAAAGCCAATGGGAGCACAATCAGGAGCTTCTCGGAGAACTGGAGTGTTTGTGCTCTGTTGTGGTTGGATGCTTTTCATGAAGTTTTTTAGTCTGTCTGCACAAGTGTATTATTCTCTGATGTCATCTTTAGTGCTTAATGGTGTTTTAAAATGTCCTTATGGGTTAAGACTGTCCATAGACCCATTACAATTATTTCTTGATATAGGGGATATAGTTCTTTTATTTCAGAAGTGACTCACAAGCCCATGGAAGAAATGCTCCTACAGTTAGATTGCTCTACCACTGTTCCTAATAAACTCTCTCCCTTTGAGAGAACTGGTACTAGTCACTGTCAAAATAACACACTAAATTAGAACAGATTTTAATACTGTGAATGTTCAGTGGAAATTCATATCTTCTCATGAAACATAGCAGCATGGTCCTTAAATTTAGAGACTTCCGTAAGTGACTCTTTACCTAAAGGTACCATCTGCCATTCTGCAATGCAAGACTTCCTAATAGAAGCATAATGATATGCTAGAGTAACACCAGTTCTATGGGATGTTAAATATTCAGTAGCTCCTCTTACATAGTAGAAGATTCAGGCCTTAGCCTTGTATAAAAATATGCTGTCAAAAAGCTAGAAAAAAACATACAAATCATCCAGTCCTACACCGTAAAACCAGCTGCTGGGGTTACTTGTGCCCCAGGGCAGCTTTAATTTGGACATGCAATAAATCACCATAGGGCTACTTGATAAGAGCTGCAGTCTCAGGAAATATTTTCAGGACTATTCAATTTCCATTAGCAGTTTCTCCAGGATATATTAGGCACAAACTGGGTTTCCTTCAATATCAAGCATTCCTGTTTTCTCTTTCATCCTGTCTTTACTAAAATGGGATTTTCATGGAGGCCATGAAATGGCAAAATTTAGGCTGTTCCTATGGCTGGTTCTATCATTTAGGCACCTTTAATGGTGTTTCACAGCAAAAGCTAGGGTAAGGAACCTGCACCCTGGTGTTAGGCTCAGTGTTCTGCCTTTCCATTCAGTAGTTTCCTTTCCCTCTACCCCCATCTCTTTCTGCACACTTCAAGAGTGATGATCCTTGGCAGCTCTCTGGTAATGGGCACTTTTGTTCTGTTCCCTAAGGACGCAAGTTGGTTACACTCCCCCAGTGTGTGAGAACAGTACCTTCTCCAGGAACAAGGTTAAAAATTAGTCACTTAAGACTTTCACAGAGCCCTGTGGTGCTGCAAGTGTGCAAATATGAGATATACCTCCCAAGGTCCCTTCCAAACTGAATTATCCTGGAACATAATAACATTCATACCTACCAATGGAAAGATGGTGGGACCTGAGAACACCTCCCTTCTGAAAAGACTACAAAGCTGTAAATATTGCTTCTTTTTGCTTGTTTTGAAAAGAGAGAAAGAAGGAGCTTTAAGAACTGAAATGTTCTCATGAGGGGCAGCTGGTGGGACCAGCTGGTGACTCATGTGAGCTGGAAGATCTCTGAGAAGTGGACTTTGCTGACCCAAGACCAAAAAAAAAAAAAAAAAAAAAAAAAAAATCCCAAAACAAAGCAATTCAAAGAATAACCAAAACACTAGTGCTTAGAATTCTTGCATGGTCCGAGTCCTTTGTAACAGCAACCAGCTTAGTTATCAGTGTTCTGACTCAGTCACTTTACTAATTATATGATTCTACTTCTCTAGCAGACGCTTGGAATTTCCTCCCTCTGATTTGTGAGGGCACTTCTCAGGGCCAGTATTTCCCTCCATTTAGCTAAAGCAAACAAGAGCTTTCTCTTTGAAAGTATTTCAGCATCATGAGATAAGTTTCCTTCCTCCTTTTAATAATTGCAGAGCTCCCCAGAGGAAAGTGTCAACAACATTATTTCCTTCCAAATTCTAAGAGAGATACAATGTTCTTTTAGGTGGTGAGATTAGATTACGGTAAAATTAATTGTTAGTTTCAAACTCGCATTCTTCAGGCTGCAACCTCAGCTCTCATGAACGTGTTGCTGCAACTCACCTGGGATCTTTTTTCACTTTTCCTACTTCTCTGCATCAGACAGCCACAGAGCACACAAAAGCTGCAGCATCATTTGACTGCAACCCACAACCGAAAGTCATAAAACCCAGTAGTTAATGTCATTGTTGTACCTCAACTCTTTACCTGTAGGGAGTGTTCCTGAGGAAAGGGCACAAGCACATGGGATCAGACACAGGATCCCAGGCTCCGTCTTGATGAGTACACCATGTCATTTGAAACATGGTAAGAAAAGCCCAGGCAGCAGCCCAGGGCATGGGGATGGAGGAAGTAGCAATGATGAGGATGCGTGGTGAGCTGCTGTACGTCTCAAACCACTTCCCTGAGCCAGCCCATTTGGACATTTTCTTTTATGAATAAATAAGTGAATAAATAAAATCAGCTAGCTCCGTCTGTTATTCACCTTAACCACAATAGGGTGGATTGATAGCTTGTAGACAGGGTTTTTGAGGAGATATGGAGAAAGTGTCCTTCCAGATTAATTCAAGGACGGCACTCTAAGGAGTCTGTTACCCATTTTTCAAGCGTTCCTGTGTTTATTTACTGAAACAACAGGAGTAATATGACATCATAAATCTTTTAAAAATTGAAATAGTAGTGCCAGTCTTGAAAGATTGATAATAAGGAACGCCTTTTAGAGTGTGCTCTTGGAAATGTAATATGAATTATTAGTGGTTTTGAACATTAGAATTACAGCATATAATTGTAATGTTATAGCAGCTATGTAGGAGCCAGTGATCCCTTAATGGAATACATTGTGAATTTAATTATTTACATGGAAAAATCAGGGCTGATATAGTCACTGAACGATAGACCTACCGTTTCCTACATCCTGCGTGTGTTATGAAGGAGCAGCGTTGCTATCTATGCTGATGCACTCAGTCCATTTTTATTTAGTTAGTTTTCAGTTCCATGCTTTTTTTGTCTTTTAGGCTATCTTCCTGCAAGGCCTACCATAGGTGCCATAACTCATCAAATGAGGATTTGCTCACAGGAGAAGGGGCCCCATCAGAGGCTGAGGTTTTGTTCGTTGGGCAGGGAGGGAGCTATCTCCCGCTGAAGAAGGCCACGCAGGCTGCTTTGCCCTGTGTTTCTTCTGCAATGGTGGTTTCAAAACTATTTGGCAGAATCACATCCAGCAAGAGCATGCTTAAAAAAATATGTATATACGCTTGGGAGACACATTTCCTGGCTTCTGGGTATATATACAGCTACTCACAAAAAACCTAGGAGTTCTTCAGATGCTTTTGTAATGTCAGTAATATTAGAAGTACAGTTTCAGTCACGAGCAAAATATCACTCCCCTGCACAAGAGGCAGGATGGTGTAGATTCAGCATCTCTGTGTTGGTAATTCTCCCTGTAAATATTTGCTGCCTGCAGGGTACACCCTGCAGGGCTTCTCAGCTGCCTCAGAGGCAGGCGTGTGCTTTTGGGCCTCCCAGCTCAGCCGAGGGGCGTTGCACACTGGGCTGCAGTCAGGGCGGCTGCACCAGGCCAGAGGTTTTGCTTGCTCCTGTGAACAACTGATTTGATAGCAAAGGGAAGAAAAAAGGAGCATTTTTAAAAATCCTCTCAGCCCCAGCTGAGGGACTCATCATAAAACTATCAGACAGAATTCAGCAGAGTGGAAATCCCTGCTCTGATAAGCCCCAGGCCTGAAAGGAGAGGGATGCAAAGTTCAGGGTAGAGGTGCACTTGCTGGATGCCCTGCACTCCCTGGCGCTTGGCTCTCACCGCTGCTGCTGACCTATGGTGTTACACTCGTTAATGTTAAAAAAAGAGCATCTAATAAAACTGAGCTGTGGGCGATTCACACCTAAACTATAGACTTCCCTTTTTGCTGGAAAAAGATTGTAATTCAGTGAAACACTAATTCAAAAAAACTCCTGGTGCATGATCCTGCACATGGGCGTGTGTCTTTTGCATAGAAGTAACTGTAAAGGGCACGTTTGTTAACACAGTTTATTGGCACACTTATTGGCAAAGCATACATAAAATACAGTTGTATTATATAACACACTGACTCACTGTGTCTTTACATGATGAGTTGAACATATTAATATGTAAATGAAAAAAATTAGTTTCTTTTATAAAGTTTCACATAAATACACCAGAATAAAAAAGTAAAACAAAAAAAAAATTGGTTTGAGGGCTTTACAAAAATATTATACAAGAAATATACTATGAAAAGAAATAACAACAAAGCCAACTCAGATACAATAATAAGAACACAAAAGTTTTAGATTTATTAAGCTGCCCACAAAGTTAATGGATTACATGGCTTTAAAATATCTGGATCGACAGCAATTTTACAAAGCATAAACTCTCATAGGACTGGGTGTCTTTTTCCACATAAAAATATTTCTCATGTCTTTGATGAAAAAAAGACATTTCTTGTTTCAGCATTTTTATTAAATGATGGAAAGAGTATCTACTGGCATCAGCTAAACGTCAATTAAAAATGCTGGATCCTTTAAATGATTAACTGATGAAAGAAAAGTTAAAGAAAGAACAAAAGTTACTTTAAATTAATTTTTCTTAAAAGCTGTTTTCTTCTGAAACAAGAAATTTCAGGTGCAAGTTGAAAAGCAGAAAATATATTACAATCGTAAAAAGTTTTACATAGTTACGTTAATGAGATCCTGAGCACTGATGACTTGTTAAAATATGGCCATTGTTTGATAAGGAAAAAAATAACCCCTTCCAATAAAATGCATTGTCAGAAATTTGCCATGAGATGCTATTTAATTTTCAATTATTTTAATTGAGGTCAGTGCCAGTATCATGTTGTATGTGAATGCTTCCAAGAAATGTATGGAAGCTTATACAAGAGTTTTCCCTAATTAAAAAAAATCAGATAGCTTTAGTTTAGAAATAGATACTGTAACCATTGAAAGATGTTTTTTAATTTTTTTTTTACAGAATGCTGTGAAACAGTAATTAATAACCCACTGACATACGTTGTAGTGGGCACTGCTGTAGAATAACCTATTGGGAAGCTTGTGGTGTGGGGTTTTCAGATTTAGTCTCCTGGTTAGCAGGAGGTTTGCTGTTCCATGGGCTGTTATTTCCCAGTGCAGGTGAATTGTTGAAATCTTCTTCATCATCCATGCCATTTGCTGCATCATACTGTGTATTCTCTAATCTAGTGATAAGCCTTTCGTCTTCATCCCCAAATTCGCCGCCCATCAGAGTTGGTTCTCCTACCACCATCACATCCTGTGAACAGCACCCAATATTTGTTATATGGAAACCTTGAGAGAAAAAAAATCAACTTAAAAAAATTATGTTAGAGAATCTGCATCTCTTAACTTTGTGATATTTGAACAACAGAGTTAAAAGTTCCTTCATAGTAGGAACCAGGAGACAGGCTTACACTTTATTTCTAATTTAAATGAAAAACTAACACATCTCTCTAGCTACATGCTCATGGCTCTGGATCTCAGAAACCCCAGAACTGAAAAGCAGGTAGACTGGAAAATGCAAATAAGCAGGCTATGAACCTTCCTTAAACTGCTTCTTGAAATATTTCGCCTTTATCCAGTAATTCTTTCCTGAGCCATTTTATTTGGAAAGGCACCAGGGTGCATCTCAGTTGCAACTCAGTGATATGCGTATTTTAAAAGTAGCTTAAAAGAAACTGCATTTCTTATCCTCAGACTTCTCCAATGTGGAGCACAGCACTCTAATAAAGACGGTAACTCTCTTATCCATAGCCAGCCAAGCCCTCTTACGCATCCAATATACTTGACATTCTGCTACTTAATTATGGTAATTAATTTAGGTAAAGTTTTCGATAAAAACAATGTTCACACTGATTTGACAATTTGCATAGCTAATTAAGCCATTAGCAAAAACCTGCTGATTGCCAACAAGCCCTGAATTTACCATCTGTTATTTCATGGTGCCTGTCACCTAACTCCATGTAGGCAACCCTGCCGCCAATCTGTGCAGTAAGAGGACCAATCTGTCCAGCTGGTACCGTAAAAGGAAGATGAAGAGTGCTAATTATAATTACACTGATGAAGCTAGTACTCATCAAAAACTGAAGCATGCAAGAAAGAGAGAATTCATCTAATCACTGCTTTAAGTACAAATTGTCCTTCCATGAAAACAAGTAAACCGCCTACTGTACTCCAGTGCATCACAGATTTGCTGCAAAAGAACTAACCAGCATGGGATAGAAAGGTGCAAACTTGAGATTGGAAAGCAAAGGTGCAAAGCCACAGAGCTCGCTTGTTCTCTCTGTTCATCAGAGAATCAGGCTGCTGTGCTAACTGCTAAATAAATATGTGGGATGCATCTTTTCATGCAGCTCAGGTGGCAGGGCATCAGCTAGCTTTTGGTAAAAGTGCAGTAATTTCAGATGTCTGCCTTTGTACCTGCTGATGTAACAAGCCCTTCTAAGAATCCTAGCAAACAACAGATTCATATTTTAAAGGATCTGTTCCTCCTTATGAATGTAAAAGCATTTTTAAAAAGCAAACATACAAATGTTTGCATTCCATAAGGTTTCTTTTTAATCAGATCTGTACTTCCTTCACCATGAAACAATACAAATTATTGCCTGTATTTACACTGTTTCTCGATATCCTTCAGCAAAGGCTGACATGCTACTGAAGAATGTTTATATCACATTTTCAGCCTGTGCTATGTGAAAAATTAGTGAGTAGATGGAAACCGTTACACGAGTTCTTCTTTACATTGTCTATATTTTGTTACTCCATTTATCCATAAAATATTTGGTTAAATAAAACTCACACACAGCTTTGTGGTATAGAAGTTTAAAAGACAAAGGTGTTTATAGACAAAAGTTTATCCTAATTTATTTCATCCCTCTAAACAACAGAAAACATGTAGTGGGAGACCTGACGCCATTGTATTGAGAGAGCTCTAATGACAAGAGACACCTGTCAGAGGACAGCAAGTTGGGTTTGAGTGTGCAGTGTGATACGGCAGGCAGAGAGGACTACAGTGGCTGAAGTACGAAATCACAGACCGAGGTGGCAACAATTCCTCTTACTTCAATGCTCTTGAGCATGGACCTCAAGTTCTCCCTGTTGCCATACCAGCAAGAGGTTGGCAACCTGGATGAGACTTAGAGAAGTGCATCAAAAATAACTATAGGGCTAATAAACACCCGGCTGGGGAGGCCACATGAAAGAATTAAATATGTATTATATCCACCAAATGATTGGGAGGGGTAAATATGCTTAACAGCTGCAAGTACTGAAAGGAAGAGGATCACTTTAGGCCAATCTGATGAGACATAACCTAGGGTACTAAGATGGCATTAAGTAAACAAAAATGTAACCCCTACTGCTAAGACAATATTGCTGTTACTGAGAACCGCAGGCTGAGGATTAATGACCCCACTGGAACAGTGCTAGCTTTGCTGCTCAGGTCACCTAACGCTGGGCTGGGAAAAATGTCAATCTGTGGTAGGAAACATTCGTGCGTTAGTGGGGAGATGCTCAATGACCTTGTAAGTATTTCCATCTCTAATTTCTCAGATGCTTTGCAAATATTATTCCTTTAATATTATGACACCCACTGAGAGGACAGTTTGCACTTATATTTCTCTCCATGCTATTGAGTCTCTCTCTCTCTCTGGGAATTAAACTACAATTATATTGAGGTTAGTGGAGTTTTCCCTCATTCTATTTAAAAGATAGATATCACAGCATTAGTTACAGGACATTTAAAAAAATTATAATTCTGCCACTTATAGCTATGTCAGGCAAAAATAGTGTCTCAGGAAGCGCACATGCTGGTTCCTCCCCAGAGAGGATTCTGCTCCTCAGACTGAAAGCTGAAGACCCCACCGAGTGCACCCCATTGAACCTCCACTCACTAGATCCCGTGCAATGACCACCAACCTCTGAGGAGGACTGGAAGTGACTCCTTTTAGAGCCCCTCAATGCTTCTCCTTAAATTGGCCAGTGGGGGTCACTGCTGTTGAATGACACAAGGCTCCATCCCTCCCAGGGTTGAGGCTGCAGCTCTGGAGTGCTCCTAGCTCCTGCTCATGGAGTGAGAAGCAGAATCCAAGAATTAAACCCTAGTCTCTTGCACGGCAGCACACACTGCTATGGCCTAGTTATGGTAGCACATATTTGAGTAGATTAGTTTAAAAAAGATTTAGACTGTAGTCACTCAATCTTATTAATTTACTCTGTGATTAGAAACAACATTTTTGGTCAAGGAATGTCTCATGATAGTAAAATATGGTTGCAGTGAAGCACTGTAAATAAAGCAGTGGATGTTTTACATTATGTGATAGAAATGTATTATTTAATAATATAACCACAAAAGCAGCTTTCATGTATATCATACCTTTAATCCTGAAATAACCCTAATTGCCATCCAAACTGAAATTGTTGCATATAAACTACACACAAAGTTCACTTCATACACAACTCAAATGCAAGCACTTCTATTTAGCATATTGGTCATTTCTCAAGCTTCATCTTTTTTATACCTAGCCTCAGTGTTCTGATATGCCCAGTTATGTAACTAAGCTTTTTAAGTTGGGATTTTAAAGAATCGTCCAATGGCTAAATAATGTGTTACTGGAGTCTGGATTTAAAAATGTGTGATGGGCCATGTAAAATTCCCCATCCCTGTGCCTGCTATCTTTGCTGCTGTTAATATGTAGTCCTGCTCAGTGTGTTACGGTGATTAGTTTGTAGCTCAGGTGTCACAGTTCCCAGAAGTAGACAAACAGTGCTCCACAAGCCTGAGATAATTAAAAAAAGCCTGAAACTATCCAGTATATTGTTCAAGCGAGCCTCACACTCCAAGGACTGAAAGTATCACTAGTCTTGGCAGTCAGTACACCTCTAAGTGCTAAGTGAAAAGAAGGGTACCTTCTCCTACCTTCCCTCCTTCCTTCCTTCTTTAAGAATTCTGCTAGTGGTGATTATTGTAATAACTGACTTCTTAGCTCCTTGCCGCTAATGGTCCCTGCCTCCAAGACAAAAAGATCCAACTGACATTGGTGTTGAAATGTTCCATAGAAACAGAACTGACATGTTAATTAGGTTTCAGAGTAAACACTTTCTAGAGGAAAATGGTTGTCTTTCACATCTCATCATAGTCCTCTCTGTTAACTTGACATTCTGGTCTTGTCTGGAATATTTTTCCTAAAGTGCAGCGACTGGAAACCAATTTGTTCATTCTCATCTCCTTATGGCTAAATCTTAGATTCCAAACTTCAGAGATCTGAGACATGGGATAATATCTGACACTAATCTTCTGGCCCTGGAACTGTAGCTCTGGTACTACAACATCCATTACAAACCACCTAAACCTATCCCCTGTTTCTGAAACACGTAAAAAATTGTATTGCTCCCTTCCACATTAGCAGGTTTATTTATGGATTTGGCTTTTGAGGAGCTTACAGAGAACTACAAAGAGATTAGTGAGGTATGTAACTTGCTTAAAGAGTGCAAGGAGGCTCTAATTAAGACTCTGGATGTAACAAAGAATGGTTGATATACTTAGTGGCATGTAGTGATGCTTTATTCTTTTCAACACAAATGATAATTCACTGGGTTCATGGTTACAGTATTACACTCATCAGGATCTTCATTAGTAAATTAAAGTAAAATCCATCTATTACTTTCTGTGGTTATTACAGGGAGCAACCTGGAATAACGGTTCTCAGAGTTCATGAGAGTTGTGGATTGCTGTCAAATTTCCAAATTCGGGCACATGAAAATGGATCAACATGTGCACTATATTTATGAAACTTAACAGAAAGTGGTATGGCTGTATGGACTCCTTCTGATGATCTTGCATGTACCTGTAATCCACAGATCACAGTGTACAGGTCACTGCTCTACACACAAGAGCCTGTATTTGAAATAGAATAATATGAAAAATCCAAAGAAATCAGATCTCAGGTTGTAAAGAGGCTTGAAAACTGAGCAAAGAGGAAAACACTGCAGCTAGCTTCACATATTAGGGGAAATTAGTAATGCATAAGTGATAAGGCAATGACAAACCCAAAGTAGACAACTAATTTATTTTAAATCATAGGAAAGCTAACATTAGAAAGACAAGTTTTCTGTGAATGTTGTGCAAGGAATTTTGCCCATCTTTGCTCTTTTTTTAGAGGAAATTGGTTATTCTAATTTCTGCACAATGGGTTAACACTTTTTCCAAAGATCAGATGTGACTGAGAACATGAACAAATCTAAGAACAGTTCAAATGACTAGCATCTGCTAATAATACAGCTGAGCTGAGCTACAGTTTCTGTGTTGCCTCAGCACCTACAGGCTTCAGGTCAAAAGCATCACTGGACAAGTAACAGGCCAACCTAGGCATGAGTTGTGCGGTGCAATCATGTAGCACACTGGATAACTACATTTATTTTAAGAATGTAGGAAATATGTAATATGTAGCAAAGGTGTTAAACAAGGGACTCGGGCAGGAAGAGTCTTATTGACAAGAGGAGATGCTGAATGTCTGCAAGCAATAGCATGAGAACTAATAGAATTGCAGAAACCACATTATAAAGGAAAATGAGGGTAACAGAGTGCAAGTGACTGTCACAAGGGCAAAACTTTGTATTTTGTTTAGCAGGGTTGAGAAAGTGTAAAAAATAGAGACTTGAGGACAGACTGAGACCGACCCTTTTCAAATTACTGATGAGAGGGAAGATGCATACCCACCCACTGGCAGAGACCCTTAAGATGCTTTCAAAGACAGTGTTATTAAAGATGTATCAGAATGTGTCAACACAATTGAAGTACTAATACATTGAAGACAATGCAAAGGGGAAAATTATACTGATTGATTAGGCTTCAGCAACTGAATTTCAGGGTTCAGTGCTAACCTGACCCATGCATGGAAATATAAGCACATCATTTAACTTTCTGGGCTTGGCTCTGTATTGTCAGCACTGTACCTGCCTGAAGAACTGATCAGAAAATACACAGCTAGAGGAAAAGGCACAGCCTCCTATTACCAAAGAATAATGTGCATATGACTAAAAACATTCCATCTCATTGATCAAGGTTTGCTTAGCCCCGTGTATTTATCTGAAGATCTGGAAGGGGCTATGGGGAAAATGACAAATCTCTCTGAAGTTTCAAGCTTTGTCATAGCTGATGGCACTCCAGCTGCTTTCCAGTCACTGTCTTGAACATGGAAAATTTGCCTTTCCAGACATGAAGACCTCATTAAAGAAAAAGAAGTTAATGGTGAGAAATTTGGATGAGAGATATGGTAAGTTTGCACATTTGCCAGAGTGTACACAACATTACTGTAGGAGTAAAACTAAATAATTACTGATGTCCTAAACCAGGAAACATCACATAGAACAGAGGCTAAGGAGACATTCTCTAACCAGGTTTAATTTACTATTGAAGAGAAACCAACACAGGAGCATAGAAGTGTCAGGAAATTAGGAGTTAGATTCTAGTATGGTGGAGAGTCTATCTTTGCTGGCTGGGAAGAAATCACTGGAGAAAATGAGAAAGCTGGTGTACATGACTTCATCTTAATCCAGGTTTGGTATGGATATGAGCTCACTGTTGGGGTTCTCCAGAGAGGACGATGGGAAAAAATGGAACTGAAACTAGCTCTGCTTATGTGAATCCTCTGGACAGAAGATGCAGTGATTTCATTCCTCTTCTCCAATAATGAGAAGGAAAATACTTTTAATGCTGAAAATTATTTTTTTCAGCAGTTCTTTTTCCTACTGATCAGGAAAGTCCCATTCACAGAAAGCTCTGTGGCCAAATGAAGCTTTTAGTTAGTCGAAAGCCGTCAAATTGTGTTTGAGGAAATATTGTCTTCTACCACATGTAAAGGAAATCAAACATTAACTACAGACTGATTCACTTTAAGGTAAAGTTAAGAGAAACAAACAGAAAGCAAGTTACTGCTACCTGCAGTTAACTTCAGACAGCAGTGGCATGCCTGTAATAAGGCCCACTTCAAAGAATGCATAATTTTGAAGAAACTTGATAACATCTCTACTTAACTGAGAAGTGTTGAATAGTTTTACACCAAAATATCCTCCTGCTAAAATTATTTTGAGTTTTGTCTACTCTACAGGGTGGCCCAACCATCAATTCCATCTGGCTTGCTATCTTTGCTGTGGGGAAGATGGGAAGAGCTGTTAGTATGTCAAACCAACAGCTAAGCATTTTCCACTGTGCAGAGGGAAAGGAGAAGAGTCCTAAAAATGGAACCTGATACTCCATACAAAAGGACCATTTTGGACCATCTTGCTGCTCTGGTACAGAAAGCAAACAACATTGAAAAATATTGACTATGCAGCATCCTGAAAGTCAATGAAGACTAAAAATCCATCCCTCATACCACGATAAACTTCACCATTATGTCTCCAGATGCTCAACTATCATCTCCATAAGGAAGAATAGCCTTGACTACTTCATCTGTCAGGAGTAGCCTTTCAGTACCAGAAGTCAGCTGCAGTATCAGTGGGAGTGACAGGTAACTATCAGATGGCTCAATTACACTCAAACATATGAGCACACATGGCTACCATTGAAGCCAACAAAAGTCGTCTCTCCAGGGAGGAGAAGGCTGAAGAGAGGCAGGGGGTCAGATTCTGGTCCTACTGAACTGAACTCGGGACAGGGAGCAGCTGAGACAAAGTGATTTTACTGTCTTGTAAACTTGGAGACAGCAGGAAACTAGCTGGTTGCTCGATTTTACACCAAATTGCTGTTTTTTCTTAAATAGAGTTGATTATTGATCCAAAGAGTGTTCTGGCAGACAGAGCCAGTGAGGCAGGATAGTCCCAGCCATCAGGGAATAAGGTAGCTGGCCTTCTGACTGCTTTGGGCTGCCAGAAAAACCCAGAGATGCCTATATTAGGGAAAGCATCTGACTCCAGGGATGCAAGCCACATGAAAATTTTAATATGACAAGGAGAAAATATGAGTTTAATGTACTGAAGCCCAAAGCTTCTGTAAGCTAGTGGATTGCTGAATCAGTTGCTAAACAAAAATCTTCATTTCATTTCACTGGTGTTAGTCTACTCCTCTTTTTTATCTGGGTATTCAAGCTTCCTAGGAAGTGCCTGCTTTGTGCTAACAAAAGGCCTATATTCTTTGTCAGGCTTCAGAGGAGACCTAGCCCCTTCCTATCTGCTGATCAGAAATCCAATAAAAATCCCTGCATGTTATTCCCAAGATACCACTTTATAGTTCCTATAATATCAAAATAATTTCTCCAGCTTTAAAATGCATAAGCTATCTCCTTCTTGACTAAGGCACACTTTGTCACAATCTGGGGTCTGATTACCTCTATATTGTGACTAAGGCAATAAACGTGACATTACTAAAATGCTGGTACAGTTCTGGAAATGCCTTGGTGTTTCCCTGTATAATTAGGTTGTCAACAGTTACCACTAGCATGGGTAACCAAGACCCGTATTACAGGGGCTCTGCCCTCTGCAAATGGAGTGGCTGGAGAAAGAGAGAATCTCTGCAGGTAAATCAGCTAATAACCTGTTCCGCTGAACCATTTCAACCTGGAACCGATTAGAGGTAAGAGACCAGCGGTCTGCTCAGGCATGGCTGTCCTGTTCCACAGGGACTCATCCTCACTTAGCACCCGGTAGATGGAAGTCTGCAAGACTCATGCTGTATCTAAAAACATGAGGCCCAGTCTCAGTCCCACTGCCAGTGGAAAGACTCCCACTGACAAAGAGTTGGCCCAGGCCTTAAAAAAATCACATCTGGTCCTCAGGATACCGCTGCTTGAGGGTCATTCATTAAAGCTGCACTGCAGAATGACTTCTTCACATCTCTCCACTAATTCCCCAGCTCCCACAGCACACTCTGCAAGATTGCCTTTTGCTTGGGATAGTTTAGGCTCAAGAATGCACCTTCTTTACAACGTAAGGAAAGACTTAAAGCACCATAAGCGATTCAGGCCTAAAAGGAAAGTGAGACTTACAGGTACCTGACTTGATAGACTCAGGTTTGCAGCAGCTGACTTTTTCTTGCTGTTGGTACTATTTGTGTTGTTCCCAGCACTGCTGTTGGAAGTGCTGCTGGTAGAGTTTTTCCTTTTTCTCCGTTTGGTTGTTGGTTGTCTTGTGGGTTCTGCTGCAATAAAATGGGAAGAAGGAAAGCAAATGGCAGATATTGTAAAACGTACTAAAATGATCCAGAAGCAGAAGTGCTGAACTATTTTTTAATGTAGCTTTGAATTCCTATGTTTACTAGTAGTAGTACTAGTAGTAGCAGTATCAGATTTAACATACAAACCTTAGAATAATATTTGGACCCAAACCCATGCAATCTGCTTTCAATTTTGTATAGTAGATTAATGAAGCTTATTCTCCCAGCATTATCTATAAAGATATTTGAAAGCATTTTACCAATGGGAGTATTGTGATAACTATCGTGTAACTTGCTGAAGGTCACACAGCACGCAACAGTGCTAAACAAAAATCCAGGTCTTATTTTGATGTAGGGTACAGCCTCAATTGACCCAGCCAGGGGCAAAGGCTAAAGGTAGCTTTCTACCCTACTGCTGCCATCGATACAGCATACGAGCAGCTACCATTTCAGTTCCTTATACCTCTGGTGTGGGCTTCATCTTTAAAACTGCCACTCCGAAGAGAACATGTTAGAGCATGCCGAATGCCATTTCTCTGAGAGTCTTCCAAACTCAGGCTGAATCAGGACAATTACATAACTTTTCTTAAATTGGAAAAGAAGAGAAGGGCAACTGTACTTTCCCAAATTTGGCCTGGACACCCATGTGAATAGTCTTAGATATACAAAACTTTAATAATCAGAAAAAGAGAGAATTATTATTTTGAGGTGTAAGAGGAAGGAGATTAGGTCCAGGCCTGTAAATAACATTATATTAGTCTCAAAGACAATTAATTATGAATTGTAGCTGTAATTTCAGAGTCACAGCAGGAAGCTGAATTACACAAACAATGAATTCTAATGGAACCAGTAGGTATTTTGCATTTGATCTACACATATTTTTGTACTAAATTATATCCTAGTCATAGTGAAATCAACTGAATGTGCACATCCATAAATCAGTTGGGTCAGACTGAAATCATAAAACATCACAATCATTTTCAGGCTTACTTTTGGAACACTGCTAATTATTACTTTCCTTTGTAAGAAAATTTGCAGTAAATTTTCCCATTGTTTCTACGTTAATTTAACTACAAAATAAGTAAAATACTGGAAATGAAACATACCTGGTGGGGCCACCATTCTCTGCCATTTTTGAAACAAGCAAGTCTTCAAACAGTCTCGAGGACTTAGATTGTAAGTTTTATGTCTTGACATCAGTTCCTGCATTGGCTCCAGAATTACACACAACTGGAAGAAAAAGTCAGAATAGAAAGATTTCATCCAAGCAAAGACTCAGTTGTTCACTATTTACATAGCTGGAAAGTATATTCTTGTATTTTTTTTACCCTTGCTAACAGACCATGCCTTGTATAGATCAGTTTAATCTGCACTGGGCTTGCAGGATCAAAACTCTGATTTGAGAAAACTTTTGCTCACTATTTACTATCTTAAATATTTTTTAAAAAATCAGATAAAGTTCAACTTTGGTATTCCAGACTAGAGAGATTTCAGAAGAGTTGAAAATTTTAATCCCTGATTGCCAAAGCTGCAAATATGAATTAATAAATAGTAAAATGCCCATAGCGGGCTATCATTCCTGTATAGCAAAATGTACACACAGTGATCTTCTGACCTGCTGCACTCCACAATGAAGACTTCTCATAAATGAGGAATGTAAACATGATCTTTTATCTTGCTATTGCATACAAAATAATTTGAGTAATTTAGTTTTTTTCTTGTTATGAGGACTATACATTCTCTTCCCATCACAGGAATGACATGTCCGAGAAATAAGAGAAGCATTTTATTTTCCTTGTCAGCTTGAATACTCTATTATGTTGAAGCTGGAGATTTCTGAAAACATGCAATTTCAAGCAAACACCTTTTTTAAATAGAGTCATATATTTTTCTATCTATTCACTTAATAATTATAATCACTGTTCACTGCTTTTTGCTCCTGTTAGCACAGCAGACCTAGCATAAAGAACAGAGTGAGCTAGTTTCTATTTCCTCCTGTTTAACATCACAGAATCATTTCCAGTCAGTTAAACCTTATTCAAAGCCACAGAAGAGTACAGAATTGCACACATGTAATTGAGGGCTTACTCTTGCTTGCAGGATCCTTGGTTTTTAGTCATCCTACATGAGAAGAAAAAAATCCAGCTGACTCTAGATTCCACCTGAAATTTCCAGGGCTGGCACATCGGAGGAAAAGGTTCCTTACTTGCTAACTGAGCACATATGATAAGGAGATAGTTAACACAGAATAAACATGGAAGGTGCAAGCCATTGTTAGTCACTTTTCAAAGCAGAACTGCATTTAGAAGCAGAAGACAGTTTGGCATTTTTTACCTACAGAAGTTAGGCAACAAGTTGGTCAAATTATTAGAAGTTAGTATGGCAACTGCAGAAAGACATAATTTAAGATGAGTCTTATTTGAGTTATTAACTTAATTTTAGCAAGTCTTGCTGCAGGAGCATCTCGGATTTACTTCAGCAGGCGATGTTTTCCTTCCATGCTTTTGCAAATATATAGAACATGAGGCAAATTCTTCTCTCTGGGCTGCAGAGCCAATCAATGTTTGCCCCATTCTCGCCATGTGCACCCCACTCTCATTCATACAAATGGAGATGTAGAGTATGCAGGGAAAATAGCTGAAAGGGAGCTGCCACGAGGACTAAGAGATTAATTCAGCATTTAAATATTATTGTGTATTGGCACTGCCTTTTGATGAGCCTTTCATAATAGCAGTTATAACAGAGATAACATAAAGCAGCAGGGAGAACGAAGAGCTTCAGTATGAGGAATTATTTTTTTCCAACTGCAGAAATTCAATCTGCAGTTGCCTCATTGACTTTTCTCTTACATAGATTTTTTACATATATTTTTGTAGATAAATATCCGCAAGGTAATCTAATAGACAGAGAGCTGCTATCAGATTTTGCACTTTGGTCTCACATTTTCCTCTGGTTCAATATTCTACCAAAAATTAAGAGCATCAGGTCCTAAAGCATGTGCAGGATCCAGTCTATGCTGTGAAGGAGGTGTTGTATTTTGAGGTCTTATTCAATTTATTCTGAAACCTGCAGGCACTTGCTCAGGTTTTGTGTGTGTGAGAGAGAGATTCGTGATCATAATCGACACCATTGCTTTGGTTCTCAAAAGTCTGTGTTTCTGGCAGGGCTGCCTAAATTGTCTCATTATGAGCAGATAGTAACTAGCATGAAAAAGATAGCAGTGAAAATTCTTAACAAACTAGTTAGCCTGGGCAGAACACTACACTCACATAGCTCTACTGCTGCTGGGACTAAAAGTATGTAAATAAACATGGAGAGTCTTCAAAGATTTCCTTAGGGACACTTTATTCATGACACATTTACTCCTCCATATATATTTATTGTTGGCAACAAAGAGAATGTTTCTTCTTTATCATCTGGCAAAGATGTTTCCTATTGTGCACTCACTGTAACACACACTGAGGAGAACTACACAGTCCCTGCTGTCTGTAGATATCTTGACTGCTAATCATGTCTATAATTTCTTTCACTTCACACACAAGATTAAAACTGGATATGTACCCAAAATGTAGCAATGCCTGTCTGATCTCACACACATGGACTCAACATGACAAGTGCTGGGACCCCTACACTGGGATGTAGTAGATGGGACAGTCTCTTCTCCTGGATATTCAGGAGCTGTACAGACTTGCATGAATTCCTCTTCTGGTTCTCGGACTGGGTAATTCTCGAACACTTTCTCTCTTTAAAGTCTGCAAATTGTAAGGTCAAGCTTTGGCTGCCTGAGTAATAGGAGAGCATTGCATTCCGTAATGACAAGTCCATTTTAAATGTGTCTAGCTCGTGAATTGGGCACAAATGTAAAACAAACTGGATTAACAATGAGTGATATTAAATCTCACAGTCTTTTCCAGTGACCTTTGAGATCTACTTGAAATCTAAAGTGACTCAAAACCAAATCCCTGAAAGAGGAAAAGATCGTGGTCCAATTATCTTATGGCTGCCAGTGACAACCAGCAGCCTGGTTTTTGCAAAAAGCTAGATTAAAAACATGGGGACAAGATGCACTTAAGAGCTAGGCTGGCCAGAACCACCTGTCATCTTCAAGAGCTACTGAGCAGGGTAACTGGCAGGCTGGTTTGACTGCGTTGTTTTACAAAGCGACTTCTTAAAACAAAGCTACTGAAATGTTTTACATACTCCTACATTCATGGCACATAGAAGCCTGAGGCTTAGACTGCCTATTCCCCACAGATCGCCTAATTTCACTCTCTGAGATTCCTTTTCAAAATACCTATTTTAACATTTTTACCAGCGTTGGATAATATTATAATGTGCAATTCTTTGCTGTAGTACTATAATAATAATATTTGGAACACCAACAAACCCCATCTCTTCTACAAGCATTTTCCTCACAGCTCAGAATCAGTCACCCAGGAAAACACCCTGAAGACTTAAAGTCTTCAGTGCAGTGATGATGTATGATCACAGAAATAATTTCTACAATTCTAGGAATCCAGAACCTTTCATAGCAATGCTTGACAAGACACAGCTAGGCATTTCCAAGCTCCACATTTAGAGAACACAAAAGATGGCACTCATTTGCCTGCAGATGGGTGTCTAGCACCAGCTGAAATGCCCTAGGTTATGATCCATCTGGGACTGGTCCATCTGATCTCTCTTGCCATTCCAGAAGGACACAAGGCTCCATGTGGATGTTTCAAGCACTAGAAGGTGTCTTAAGTGTATGGGCAATTGAACAAAGCCCAAAGTTAGAAGAAAAAAGTATGCTTCTTTTAGCTTTTAAAACATATTTGGAAGAATGTGTATCATAATAATTATATACTTTCCCTTTGCAGTACTAAACATACTGAAATAACTCCACACAATGCTTAGTAACCCAATATTACTCAAATTAGTTTCCAGTCATGTTTTCTTATTTGATCTCATCTCAATGATGCCTGACCATTACTGCGGAACCATTGCTGTTTCACTGTGGATAGGTGTGAGTTGGATCCAGTGCTAGAGACGAATGCAGCGCTTTACAGTGAGAGAAGTCATGGGCATGAAAGGTTTGTATTTGTGGGTGCCCAGCACACACTGGGACACATGCATGCATTTTGGTGCTGTAGGGAGTGTCAGTGATTTTACTAGAGTTCCATATGGATCCTATGGACAATTCATCAATTACAGGGCTTGGATCCAACTTGAGAAAACGGTAACGTTATACCCTTGGGGCTCAGGGAAGTGAAAGTAGGGAACATAATAAAGCACATGGCTTTTTGTGTTAGCAAAACACATGTGGAAGGATTTGATTTATTTTATTTTTTAATGACTTTTTTTTAGAGGAGAAGACTAGCATTTACAGGTTTCAAAAACCAGTGTTTTAAGAAGGGAGTTATATGAGGAGATACTGGAGGCATTGCAGACAGGAGTTAGAGGGTTCTGAGAATATGGATCCCCATGTAATTTCCTGTAATACTTCAGTTATCAGCACAGCCAAAATCGGCCTTTGTAGGTAAGGGGTCAGATTCAGCTCTGAGATCACTCCAGTCACACCAAGAATGGTTTCAGCCTTACGATTTTTGTTCTGAGAATAGATGCTCATTCTGGTAGCAGTGAAGATTAGCAGAAAAAAACAATGTAAAAGCTCTCCTTTACTTTACTTTTGCATAGCATAAGCTTATGCATTGTGTTGCTAATTTAATTAGCAATTACTCTCTGCAGTGAAACCTCTTGTCTCCATGAGAATTTTTGCATTTCCAGCAGAGAAGGTTTGTTACTCTGCTGAAGACGTTGCAGTCCTGCCGGCTCTGAGCTGCAGGTGGCAGAGCTGGCCCAGCCAACAGGCTTCCTCTGCCTACGTGCTAGGAGCACAAAAGAACTGCAGCCTTTCAGTCTTTCAACGCCTTTTGCATTCTAAAGAGAATTCAGAGAGACTCAGTCTTGCAATACTTAGGTGGTGAGACTGATATAATGGCCAAGGTAGTTTCTTTAAATCAGGAAACCTCTCTCGTCAGTAGGTGCCGGGCAGCAAACGAGTCCCACAGGCTACCAAAAGAAGCAAGTTTTGAGTAACCCATGGTTACCAGTTTTGTCTGTATAAGCAACAGTTTCACTAACAACAATTAAAAAAATGGAATTATCTAAAGTTTCCATGTGGATGACACTTAAAAATGTTAATGTATGATGAGACAATATCAGTTTTTCTGAACCAAACCAGCAAGGAA